TCACAGAAATTCTAAAGCGAAGTAAATTTTTAAGATATTTTCAAATCAATTTCAGATTGAGTACGAGGCGAATTCCAAAAGAATTTGCTGATAAGTTTAAGGAGAATTTCAAGAGTAGAATTTGAAGGAAATTATTACCATGGAAATTCTGAAAAGAATTACATTCAAAGTGTTTTTATGTTACTTCATACGCGAAGTTTGCGATTTTCCTAGTTGGTTGGAAATGCTATCTAACATGAAGCTTTAGTGTGAAATTTATTAGCAAGAGAATGATCTTAGAAGAGGGTAGGTAGATAGTTCGGTGAGAGAACGGCAGTACGAAAATTGAATAGAAGTTGAAAATGAGCGAAATGCAAGTCAAACGCACACTCTTTGCCTGTAGATTTGAAAACACACTTTAAATCTCCGCGTACATCGTACGGGTTAGGCATCAAAAAGAGCATGTCTTTCTTTTGGTAAACACTCGCTCTGTTTGACTAATTGATTCTGAAACACTAGCGTAAACACTTATTCAACTGGGAAGCTTACCGATAAAAAAGTGGAATGTTTTAATTTGGCTAAAAATATTGGAAAAATAGGAGAAATGGGTCTAATGTTGGCATATGGATCTACGATTGGGCCCATCGCTAAAAATCTGCTATTTATCAATATTATCAAGATAAACGCGTCATTGGGACGGTACTAATGAATATTTTTGGTGGCTATTGAAAATTTAGTCGATTACTGAATCTATGTATGGGTCCAAATTAAGGGCATTTAGGCCGACATTACATCCATTTCCTCTATTTTTCCAATATTTTTGGAAAACTAAAAACGTTTTTTGGGCAATAAGCTTCCTCTTATACGTTTAAAAAGCTGTAAGCCGTTTACAGCTTCTGCTACATACATTGGCAGGGGAAATGGATGTTATATCGGCCTAAATGCCCCTAATTTGGGCCCATACATAGATTCAGTAATCGACTAAATTTTCAATAACAACCAAAAATATCCATTGGTACCGTCCCAATGACGCGTGCATCTAGATAAAATTGATAAATAGCAGATTTTTAGCAATGGTCCCAATTTAAGATCCATAGGCCAACATTAGAGCCATTACCCCTAAATCATTAAAATACCTATTGGAAAATCATAAAATTCATTTTGTTAAGCAAAGAATTTCTCAACTTTTGCATTATTCTAACATTGTTAAAAACACATTTTCACCTCCAAAGAATTCAACTTTGTTTATGTTCAGTTCCACCAATCAATGAGATCAGTTTCAAGGACGTAACCAGGGCAGTTCTCGATCGCAGCATTTCCATCCCAGAGCCAATGATTAATCCCAAACTGGTGTATAAGCGGTAACCGACGGGAAGTCCATAGGACCAGTATAATCTACGAATTTCGGCAACTTACAAACTGAATGCTAATGCCGATTTGGCGCATGAAATGTGCTGTGAAGGAGAACCAAGTGTTAATTTTTAATAAATTCATCGCCCATTTCCGAGGTATATTTGCCTCATACATGTGAGTGTGGTGTGACTTGACCAAATCTGTAGCGAGTGCTGCTTGTTTGCTTGCAGCGAGTAAGACAACTCTCTGCTTGAAATACAGTTATTCTGCCGACGACGGGGCATTGATCGCGACTGATGAACCCGAGAGGAGCCGAGAGCTACAGGTTTGGCTTATAGATTCAGAATGGATGATGATGAAGGGGTGGTGTCAAATTTGTTGACGCTTGAAATGAAGTGAAATATGATGATTTTCGACGACGACGACGGACGGTTTTGTTGTAGTGCAGAAACAGATTTTTGAAATGCTTATTTTTAGAGCCGTGTACTGCTGGTTCCTCACATTCCTTGGAAACGACTGGACCTAAGGTCATCCTTTTAGGATTTTCTGTTGGTTTCTACTGTCGTGAATCTCTTTCACCGATTCGTATTTATCAGTCTCCGCTTGTCTGGACTCGCTGCTTTTCAACCCGCAATAGGTAAAGTTTGTTCCGGAGGCCGTGTGGGTTGTGCTATTTTTTTCAAAACCGATTGCGAATAACAATACCTAATTGAATTTGCAATTTCATCCATTGTAAATCTCCATCAGCATTTATTTTCTAGTTGGCGCTTTCTTCTTTGTCATTGTAGTAGTCCCCGGCGCAGCGCACGATTCAGCTTTGGTTGCCAACTCACAGTCGTCGGTTGGAGTGGGCGCCGCTCGCTAGAGAGTTCGCTGCCGTGGAGTGCACTTACCGGGGCCATGGCGCACCTATCACCGCGGAGCCGACGATCGACGTGGGTTTAATATAGTCAAATTTGTGCAAGCTGGGGAGCTTTCTATGACAACAACAGCATTACCAAGAACAGTGCCCATGTGTAATGCAAATCGCACCCAATCGGAGGCGGAGCGCTGCGGAATACGGTAGAATTCCATTCCGGTCGGTCGGCCGGCGGTGTGCTTGTTTGCTTCTAACTGGAGCGAAACCAGAATGGAATTGAAAAGTTACTTGAATTGCGAATGAACCGGTGGTGTTGTTCTGCATTTCGAAACATCGCGGGTCAATTTGGTAAGCAAACCGAGGCGATTGGTTTGACTTCCAGATTGTTATTCAAATCTTACTAGGTACTAGTAGACAACAGCAAATGTTTGCTTATGCAAATTCACGCTCAAACAGTTACCACAGATGTTGCATCGTTTACTGATGAAGAGATACCAGCAGATCAAAAGAATAATCTTTCAAAAGTAGTGGTGTTCGATTTCCATTTGATTAGTTGATTAATTGATTATCAATTCCGAAAATTGAATGTTTTTACATAGCAGACATCGATTTATCTCCTCAAATATGATTCAAATGACGATTTAGGGGGTGTTGAGATGCTCGAAATTTTCATACCAAAATTTCCCAGTATTAAATATTTCATAAATCATTATTTGTCGACCGGTGGGTTTCCCAAACCTTTAAATCGATTTATCTCCCCGGTTCTAATCGCGATTTGGGGGGTGTTCAGATGCTCGAAATTTTCATACCAAAATTTCCCGGTATAAAATATTTCATAAATCATTATTTGTCGACCGGTGGGTTTTCCAAACCTTTAAATCGATTTATCTCCTTAAATATGGCTCAAATCGCGATTTGGGGGGTGTTGAGATGCTCAAAATTTTCACACCAAAATTTCCCAGTATAAAATATTTCATAAATCATTATTTGTCGACCGGTGGGTTTCCCAAACCTTTAAATCAATTTATCTCCTTAAATAAGGCTCTAATCGCGATTTGGGGGGTGTTGAGATGCTCGAAATTTTCATACAAAAATTTCCCAGTATAAAACATTTCATAAATCATTATTTGTCGACCGATGGGTTTCTCAAACCTTTAAATCGATTTATCTTCTTAAATATGGCTCTAATCGCGATTTGGGGGGTGTTGAGATGCTCGAAATTTTCATACCAAAATTTCCCAGTATAAAACATTTCATAAATCATTATTTGTCGACCGGTGGGTTTCCCAAACCTTTAAATCGATTTATCTTCTTAAATATGGCTCTAATCGCGATTTGGGGGGTGTTGAGATGCTCGAAATTTTCTTACAAAAATTTCCCAGTATAAAACATTTCATAAATCATTATTTGTCGACCGGTGGGTTTCCCAAACCTTTAAATCGATTTATCTTCTTAAATATGGCTCTAATCGCGATTTGGGGGGTGTTGAGATGCTCGAAATTTTCATACATATTTGTCGACCGATGGGTTTCCCAAAACCTTTAAATCGATTTATCTCTTTAAATAAGGCTCTAATCGCGATTTGGGGGGTGTTGAGATGCTCGCAAAAATTTTCATACCAAAATTTCCCAGTATAAAACATTTCATAAATCATTATTTGTCGACCGATGGGTTCCCCAAACCTTTAAATCGATTTATCGCCTTAAATATGGCTCTAATTGCAATTTGGGGGGTGGTCAGCTGCTCGAAATTTTCATACCAAAATTTCCCAGTATAAAACATTTCATAAATCATTATTTGTCGACCGATGGGTTTCCCAAAACTTTAAATCGATTTATCTTCTTAAATAAGGCTCTAATCGCGATTTGGGGGGTGTTGAGATGCTCAAAATTTTCATACGAAAATTTTTCAGCATAAAATATTTCATAAATCATTATTTGTCGACCGCTGGGTTTCCCAAACCTTTAAATCGATTTATCTCCTTAAATAAGGCTCTAATCGCGATTTGGGGGGTGTTGAGATGCTCAAAATTTTCATACCAAAATTTCACAGTATAAAATATTTCATAAATCATTATTTGTCGACCGGTGGGTTTCCCAAGCCTTTAAATCGATTTATCTCCATAAATAAGGCTCTAGTCGCGATTTGGAGGGTGTTGAGATGCTCGAAATTTTCATACCCAGATTTTCCAATGCATTACAGTTGAGGAAATCTCTCTGCTAATCAAAAATAAATATTATAAAAATAATTTCAATTACGACAAGCTTCACCCTACTGTTCGCTAGTTTACGTTGTCTGCCTGTTTTCGGCGAACTAAAAACAACTCTCGACCATTAGCATCCCACCGCACATAGCGCTGTTAATCTGTCGCGGAAGTTTATCGATTTTGCTGTTAGCCCAGCTCGCATAATCCCATCATGTCTTTCTCGAATTATCCTTCCTGGTTCGAAGTGGTAGAGCAAAACGATTGCAACCAACCTACGTTCATTTTCTGCACACCAGCAGCCGGTTGCTGATCAACTGGTTACTAAGTGTAGATTTGCTTTTAAATTGTATATTCAATCGATGTCTCCAACCACCAGCACCGGTTGTAAATGAAACGGTGTGTACCGCGAGAGGAGTTCCAGTGGGTAGAGTAAGCTCAACAACAACAATGAGTTGTAAAATAATAAGCAAATCTGAGGTGAGTAATCGGCCAGGACAGTTACATAGACAACTACAGTATTTTAACAGAGTTTTGTTTTCCAAAAGCTAATATTAAAATCAAACACATCAATCGGCTTCTGCTAACAAGGTCCAATAACTTTATAGATGCAAAATTAATCCAAAACAATGTAAAACAAAAGCACCGATTCAATCAACTAATTAAACTTACAAGTCAGAAACCTATAATTAGAGCTGCTGCACGGCATAAACACGTCATTTGCAAAGCCCAAAGTGAACCAATAACATGGCGTTAAATGCAGTCTACTGCCTAACTGTGGTGCTTCTTTTCTCTTCAACTCAAGTAATTATTTGATTTTCTTCGGATTCTCATGAAAGAACTTCAATTTCCTAATAATTCAAAGGCCACCGTTACCATCATCATCGACGACGATCTTCGCGAGTGTGGCACGGGTGCACCGCTTCCCAAAGTTGACATCTCGCATATGCAAATTATAACCGAGGACGATGGATCGCTGACGGTGAATGGAACCATTTACTACAATGAAGACTACGGGAGTCCTACAAGGGTATGTGGGGAAGACTTGTAGCTCTGGTTGGACAACTTTTAAATCTAATAACATTTTCCCAGTGGCGAATGAACACGAAACGGTTGGAACGAGGACAATGGGTTCCAGGTATAATGAGTCGCGAAGTTCTGGACCTGTGCCCGGCACTACTGCAGCCCAGCGAAATCTGGTATCCAGTGACGAGCAAGCTGCGCAAGGCTGATTGTCCGTTCAAAAAAGGGGTAACGACAGCTTGTATTTTCTATCGGTAGTTTAAGGGCTGTAGCATACCAATTTGAACTTGCAGTACGAAGAACACATGGACATGATCAATATCGGCAATCCAGGAGAGCTATTCAACATCCCACCGAATTTTGTCGGTGAGTGGCAAGTGTACCACGAAATCATTACCACTCGCCGGGGGCTACCGGCGAAGGAGTGCTTTATGACTCCGGTTAGTATCACGGAGGTGTGAATGTTGCGATCACAAATTGTAACATTATAGATGGTGGAATAAATTAATAAATTCAATATCATGGTGACGGTAGTTCTACAAACTAATTATTGACATACGGATTGGACCCAAATAGTATTGCAAGTTTGATATTTGGGAAATTGGGAATTGGATATTTATTTCCATAATGACCACCAACTGCTCAAGATAGATTAAAATGAGTGAAGTTGTTCAGAAGGCCAAGGACGTCTGAAAGGTAGACAGTTTGGTTCGAAATTCAGTCGCTGCATGGCGCTAGTGTGCATGACATTTTTTGCATTTTTGGTTTTTTTATCTCAAGGAAGTCACCAAAGTAGTTCAGAAAATCAAAGGCGTTCGGAAGGTGGACGTTCGGATTTCTGTCACTACGTCCGAACTTTCTGAAATGAATAAAACTTTTCTGAAGTGATTCAGTATTTTCCGAAGCGATTCAGTGCTTGTGGAAGTGATTTCAATATTTTATTACTTTCATCAGTACTAGTATCAGAATCAGTACTTTCCGGAGAAGTTCCGAACTTTACTGAAACGATTCAGTACTTTCCGAAGTTATTCCAAAAGTTCTAAAGCAAATCAATGCTTTCCGAAGCGATTCAGTACTTTTCGAAATGTTTTCGATTTTTTTCTGAAGAGATTCAGAACTTTCTGAAGTGATTCAGTACCTGCAGAAGTGATTCAGTACTTGCAGATGTGATTTCAAACTTTTATGAATTGATTAAGTACTTTCCGGAGTAATAACGAAATTGTATGAAAAAATGCAGTACCTTCCGAAATGATTGCGAACTTTTCTCAAGTTATTCAGTTTTTTTTCTGAAGTGATTTCAAACTCTTCTTAAATGATTCAGTGATTTTCAAAGTGATGCAGTACACGAGGAAAAGATAACAAACTTTTTTGGAATAATTCATACTATCAAAAATAATGCCGAAATTTCTAAAGTAATTTAATAGTTTCTGAAGAGATTTCAAGATCTTCAGAAAATTCTGAAATAATTCCAATCTTTTTTGAAGTGATTCCGAATATTTCTAAAGAGATTCAGTGCTATCAGAAGCGATTCTAAATTTTTCTGAGTCAATTCAACACTTTCCGAAGTGATTCAAACCTCTTCTGAAGTGATGCAGTAGTCGAGGAAGTGATAACAAACTTTTTTGGAATAATTCATTACTATCCAAAATAATTCCAACATTTCTAAAGTAATTTAATACTTTCTGAATCGATTTCAAAATCTTCCAAAAATTCTGAAATAATTCCAATCTTTTCTGAAGTGATTCCGATTATTTCTAAAGAGATACACATTCAAACTTTCAGAAGTGATTCTAAATTTTTCGGAGTCAATTCAACACTTTCCGAAGTGATTCAAAACTCAACGAAATTGTTTGATTTTTTTTTTTTTTTTTTTTTTCTTTATTAGAAATTGTTTGAGTATCTTCCGAAGTGATTCCGAACTTTTCAGAAGTTATTCAGTTCTTACTGAAGTGATTCCAAACTCTTCTTAAATGATTCAGTGCTTTCCAAAGTGATGGAGTACTTGAGAAAGTGATAACAAACTTTTTTGGAATAATTCCATACTATCCAAAGTGATTCCGATTTTATCTAAAGTGATTCAGACCTCTCTGCAGTGATTCCAAACTTTTCTTAAGTGATTTATTCCTATTCGAAGTGAATCAGTACTTGCGGAAATGATTTCAAAATCATCAGAAAATTATGAAATAATTCCAATCTTTTCTGAAGTGGTTCAGTACTTTCCGAAGTGATTCCGGACATTTCTAAAGAGATTCATTACTTTCAGAAGGGATTGAAAAATTTTCAGAATCATTTAACCACTTTCCGAATGGATTTAAAACTCTTCTGAAGTGAATCAGTGCTTTCCGAAATGATTGATTTTTTTTTCTAAAGTAATTCAGTACTTTATGAACTTATTCCAAACCATCCAGAAGTAATTCAGGACTTTCTGAAGTAATTCTGACCTTTTCTTAAGTAATTCAGTACTTTCCTGGAGTCACTCGGTTTTTTAAATGATCCTGAACACTTCTGAAGTGATTCAGTACTTTTCAACGTGGTTTTGAACTTGTATGAAGCGATTCAGTTTTTGTAGTGTGTCCAATTTCTGCTGAAGAGATTCAGGACTTTTTGAAATGATTCCAAATTATTCTGAAATGATTCAGTACTTTCTGAAGTGATTCTGTACCTGCAGAAGTTGATTCAGTACTTGCAGATGTGTTTTCAAAATTTTATGAACTGATTAAGTACTTTCCAGAGTAATTATGAAATTGTATGAGTAACTTCCGAAGTGATTCCGAACTTTTCAGAAGTTATTCAGTTTTTTTCTGAAGTGATTCCAAACTCTTCTTAAATGATTCAGTGCTTTCCAAAGTGGTGCAGTACCTGAGGAAGTGATAACAAACTTTTTTGGAATGATTCATTACTATCCAAAGTGATTCCAAAATTTCCAAAGTAATTCAATACTTTCCGAAGTGATTTCGAACTTTTATGAAGAGATTCTGAACTTTTCTGAAGTGATTCCAAAATTTTCTTAAGTGATTTATTTCTATTCGAAGTGAGTCAGTACTTGCGGAAGTGATTTCAAACTTGTCAAAAAATTCTGAAATAATTCCTACCTATTCTGAAGTGTTTTCGAACATTTCGAAAGAGATTCAGTACTTTCAAGTGATTCTAAATTTTGCTGAATCGATTAAACACTTTCCGAAGTGATTCAACACTCTTCTGATTCAGTGCCTTCCGAAATGATTGAAATCTTTTCTAAAGTGATTCAGTACCTTAATGAACTTATTTCAAACAATTCATAAGTGAATCAGTTCTTTCTGAAGTGATTCCGATCTTTTCTTAAGTAATTCAGGACTTTCCTGGAGTTATTCAGTTTTTTTAATGATCCTGAACACTCCTGAAGTGATTCAGTACTTTCCAACGTGGTTTTAAACTATATAGAATGGGGTCATGCTAGTGTGTGTTGCAATACTTTTCAGAGCGATTCCAAGCTTATGACTGGTAGTGTTTTCACGTGATTCTTAACTTTTCAAGTCTGGTTCACTTCATATTCAAGCGATTCCAAACTTTTCAGTTTGAATTCATTTTATTTTCAAGTGATTCCAAATGCTTCATGTCTGATTCGCTTCACATTCAAGTGGATCTTAAAAGCGGCGCCAGTGGTGTAGTGGTAAGCTTGATTACCTCTCCCCGCAGCAGGCCTGGGTAAGTTCCAGTCGGCACCGCCGGGATTTTCTGGGGCATAAAATCTTTGATCACCCGGTCCATGAGATGATGTCTTCCTGACGTCAGTAGAATGGGTACTCATCAGTACAGAAAACACGATCGACGGAAAACAAATCAAGGCAAAAAAATACTAGATCGCTTGAAGGGACCGACCAGGACTGACCAAAGTGGCCACATATCAAGATATAGAACATCGATATATGAAGGGTTGACTTTATTGTAGAATAGCTACGATATTTTAGTTTAAATACAGAAAACCGGAGGAAGCCTCTCCCCTACCGCTCTAACTACCTTGGAATTCTCCTTACGTTTCACCTGTAGTATGAAGTTTCTCAGAAATAACCTGAAAGGAATCCTCAGATTTCATTTTCCTAAAAAATAATCCTCTTATATTTTCCTCTGAATTCCCTTGAGATCTTAGGAAATTCCTATAATATTTATTCATTAAATTTGGTAAGCTTTGAACCTTTTGCAAGGTCCTTAATTTGTTTGAAATCTGGGTTTTAGGAATTCATTTTATGTCCGTAGTTTTGAATATTTATTTTCGTTCCAGATTCTTGAAAAGATAAATCCACTTCGGCATTATTTCATTCAAAGAGTAAGAGTAACTAAAAACAAGGTTGCAAATACTCATTTCAGCTAAAACAATGTTTTTTATTAAATTATGAAATAATTAGATGCTATGATCATATTTTTAATACGTAAAATACAAGAAGAGGTTGCAAAGAATGTGTTTGACATATTAAACCTGTTTATTTCACTTCATGAGCGTCACAATCAGCGATTTTTCACACACTCACTCACTCACTCACTCACTCACTCACTCACTCACTCACTCACTCAGCAAATTGCTGATTGTGTCTCATAGAAAGCTAAATGTACAGGTTTGGGGCTGTCCATAAACTACGTAGACAGTTTAGGGGGGGGGGGGGTTGACAATTATCCACGGTCCATACAAATTTTAAAAATTTTGTATGGGCAATTGTCTACGCAGGGGGAGGGGGGGGGGGTCAAGAATCCCAAAAAACTGTCTACGTAGTTTATGAACAGGCCCTTTTATGTTTCAAACGCATACTGTGTGACCTCTTCTTGTAAGTTACAAGTAAAACATGTCATCATACCATTTTTTGGTTTTATTATTCCGAAAAACATTATTTTAGCTGAAATGAGTATTAACCTTGACTAAAAACGGAAGATAAAGTTGATTGTATTATGAAATACTTTGAAATATCTGCGAAGTTTCTCTGGCGTACTTCAATTTATTGTTTGCTTGATAAAATAATTTGAAAATTCCCTAAGAACTCCAGGTTTTCCAAGTAAAATAAAAGTCTATGCAGATTGAAGGTTTTCCGGGATTTTTCAGGTTTGAAAAGAAAGTAGTTGGAGTTCTCTTGACAAATCAGTTTAAGTTCTCCTTACAAATCCCTTAGAGTTCGCTGAAAATTACTTTGAAATATTTGTCAGAACTCTCTTGGAATTGTCATAGGGAATGCCTTGGAATCCTTCTCAGAATTCTCTTGGAAATTTCCTTTGAATCCTACTCATGATTCCCTTGGAATTCCACACAGAACTACATTGGAATTTTCCTTAAGTTTCACATTCAAGAATCTGCAGCCCAAGAGCAGTCAAATCGAATGCCCTGGACAAGTGGTACTAGATTGAGTACCCAAGTCTACGAGAAAATTTTCAAGATTTTGAGGCTAGACCATTTTCCCGAATTCATCATCTTTGCGATAATATTTACTTCAATTATTGC